ACACAATTGCTGAAAGGAAAATCTCCATTGTAATGATAGAGAAGGGATTAACTTGCTTGCAGCTAAAAATAACAATTAAAGATAAGAAATTTAGGCCCGGAAAAGAAAGTGTTGTAGAAGCAAAATCTGCATTGAGACTAGGTGGTGATCAGGTGGCTTTGTCTGAAAGGCTGCAACAAATTATCTTCACACAGACTCTTCAAGACTGTAGGTGTGTCACTGACGTTATTAAAAAAAATAAAATGTGTTTCAGGAAGTTGTAGCAAGTTGTATGGATTCAGTTTTGCAACCAAACTTACTATTTGCCTGAATCTGCCAAAGCTAACTGAATTGCTTGCTTCTGCCAGCTCTGAATTTGCAGCCAAAGTTTCAAAGCATCTGAAGACAGACACTGTGAGTAGACTTTACAAGAGCTGCTAATCAATTAGGTGTCTACCCCTCAATGTTGAATGAGAGGTGGCTGGGCAGCTTTAGATGCTTTAACATCTAGCTCAGTCGTTACATAGTTATGAAGTGACAGAAGGACAGAATTAATAGTGATCAACACTTCTAAAACTCATCTTCCCTCCTGCTCTTATCACAGTCTTGTTCCTTGTACCAGTTTGGTCAGTTCCTTTCAAAAACTAAAGCATAATTTCTATTTAAAAGGGAACAGGATTGGTCTCTAATCTGTGTGTTTTTGCCTAGTAGTTGCATGGAATGAATTTCAGTCTATTGTTCTCTACACTAAAAATAAACAAAAATCAGGCATGGGAGGTAGGAGTGGGGAGAAGCTGCTGAAACTGAGGAATCAAGTCAGTAGCTAAAGTGGAAATGAATGATTTGGAATAGTCAGCCTACATCCTCATAAAGGAGAATGAGAAATTGTCAGGCTTGGTGAGAAATAGATACCTTCCTAGTGCAGGATCCAATCTAATAAATTAAAATGTGAAAAAACACTCTTGATGTGAATAACTGAAATGATACCAAGCCATCACAAAATAAATTGATGTCAGAAGGATACTGAGCAGGATATGACTTATTAGGGGAGAAGAACAAAGAACGCTAAGTTACAGTTCTGGAAGCATTCGAATGTCCTTGATTCTGCACATTCTTAAGTGCTGCATGGGAAACTGGGGAGATATGGGCTGCACCTTGAAGGAAGGGGATTAGGGAGCCTCTTTGGTGCCATCAGAAAACATCCACGCTACGAGAAAAAGACAGTGGAAGAAAAGAAAGCCAATTTTTCTAGATTAAACTTTGCTGTGTATTTGGAGAAGAGGAGGCTAGTGGAGCGTGTGCTTGCCCCATTGCCTGGCATCACAGACCTACGTTGTCTCTGGCGTTCTGTGGCTAGACAGGCTGGAAGTGAGTGGCAGATGGTGGTGCTTCGGTCGCTGACACTTCTCAAGGCATCCTGCGGGTACAGGTCTTAGTGCACACCCATCACTCGCTCCACAGCACATCCTGGCATCATCCTGGCTCCACAGCTTGCAGCAGAGCTGTCACACGCAGGCTAGAAGCAATCTCTTGTCCCTCTGTATGTCTCACAGCTGGTGCAGCTAACAGACCACTCTAAGATACCTACACAGCCAGTTCCTTCTCTTGTTTGAACTGAGGCACTAGGCTCGACATGCACACAAATTTGACGTTATGTTCCTTGAATACTGCTATCTAGCCAACTGTATTAACCTGGCTGGGTTTGGAGACCATTCTGGGAAAAAATGCAGGATTTTCTATCAAGAACAAGAGCTAAAGATTCCCTAGTCTATAGCAGGGGAGAGAGTAATTTATTCTTGCTGTGTGCAGAAAGATTTCCTTGCTTCTGAGTTTGCTCAACCTTCCACTGTCTTCCTGGGGTGTCCGAGCACAGCTCACAGTGCAGGAGTCAGCGACACAGCTGGGAGCCAGCTGTGGGAGCTGGATGTGAGGGACAGCAGCCGAACTGTCTGGTCAGGGGCCTACTGGTCGTAGGATAAGAATTTGCTGCACCATTTTCTTAATGCAAGTTTGTCCCTGTGCCTGACTGGGTGTGCTTTCATACAGAAAGCCGCAGTGTGAGGTGAGCTCTTTTGTTCCTTCTTGATTTTGTGAGATAACACTGTTTAATATGAGCAAAGGTTATAACACAGGAGTCTTAAGGCTGAATTTTAAACAGTCTGCATATTTTATACTTCTATTTTTCTTGACTTCTGTGCCAAAATGAACATTTTACAAATCTCTGGACATTCCTTGTGCTCTTAGATGTAACAGCTGAGATATTATAGTTAAATATGGTTATCATCAAGACATATTAATATTTAAATACAAAACTATACAGTCACTTGACAGTTGTAAAATAGCTATGTTCTTAAAATAGCTGATGAGTATTGACTGTGTAATTGACTGAAAAAGTCTTTTTTTTTTTTTTTTTCCTACGCTTGAAACACTTTTCTTCAGAGGTGAATCTAGGACCTCCCGAGGAGGAAGCATGCAAGAAGGGAAGGCAATTTAGTTACAAATATTTCTCTGCTGTTCTACTGCTCTGACAGTTCTGGGCCCCTTCATTCATCTATTACATGGTGGTTGTGGTTCATGACTTCTGACTGATAATGATTAATGCTCATAACATTAACATTTTTGAGAGAGAATTTTGACTTACTACTTATTAAAACAGTCTTCTGACCAAAAGGTAAAAAAATAGTGGTTTTCTTTTTTCTCTGCAATATGCAAAGCAACAAAACTAATTTTTGTTTCTAATCAGAAAGTTCCAGTAAACATTGACATTCTCCACCTGCCTTGGTACTGTGTGGTTGAAGTCACACAGCTCTCCATTCCTGAGTATTAGGTTGCATGGACTTGGCTTGAGTGACTTCACCACTCTGTCCTGTACGAGATGCGGTGTTCTCAAGGCACAGCGGACTCCTGGCATGAGAAGAGTTTCAGTCCTGCTCCTGGGCATTTCCATTCACGTAGGAAATTCAGTGTTTGGACAGTAGATGGGTCTAGTACTGGGTATACATGAATTCATATGTAACAGGGGGAGACACTTTCTGGGTTTGCAGTAAATGCACAAGCCACATTTTATGGGGTTTTCTTTTTGGCTAACACCTGCCTGTTATTGTGTTAACTCATTAGATCTAATACATAATTTAACATTTCACAGTCCGAGCGTTACAGTAATTAAACACAAAGAAGGCCAGAACATTGGGCCTACCTGAACTAACTCAGAAAAGCTGCCTTACCAACGCTTAATTTTGAAGAGAAGTAGGCACCCGTTTGGAAATCAGGGCAATACTTGGACTACTCTGAACTATATTTGCTGCAATACCTGCTTTACAAAGCTCCTCTAACATACAGTTAATGCAATCCTAACTTGTCTTGCTGTGAAGAACTGGTCTCTTTGGGAGGTGCAGTGGTAGGGAAGGGTCAAAGAACACAAAAGCAAAGACCGGATAGAGAACTGTGTTACTCTGCTCTGAATTCCCAAACTAAGCACATAGTGACTTTGTATGCAATGAAGTGCTGTGGAATGTCATTGTGTGCATAATACTAAAATAACAGTTCTCTTGGGAAATAATGGAAATGATATTTTGTAATATTAACCTGTAACAACATGAGCAAGTACATTTTCTTTTTTTTTTTTTGCCATATCTACAGGAAATTCTTTAATAAATCTATAGACTGCTACATGTGGCTATAGCAACGTTAGCTTTTACAATTCTCTGTCATTTTTGTGTTATTTTGTATTTTCTATGAGTTAGGTGATGCTAGTTGGTCATACATTAGGTAGACAGAGGATGAAAAGTTTTAATCAGCAGCTACTAGTTTTGCACTTACTCAAGCCCAACTTTAGCATGGTTTTATTTAGGAGTTTAAGGGATTACCAGACTGTCTGAAGAAAAGCAGTTTGTGTTTATTTGGTTTTGCACTGTAACCAGCTTTACTGATCAAACTCTGCTCTTAGTTGCCATAGAGCCTCTTAGGGTTAGAGCCTCCAAATACCTAGTGCTGACAGATGCTGGTGGTGACAATATGAATAGCTCTTCCAAGTTGGTAGGGCATGCAGCAAACACTCATCTTGGTAGTTTTTCCAGTCTAGGAAGATAACAGCTGCCTGACTCTGTCATGTTTTATGTATATTCCAAAGTAAATGCGAGAACTTTTTGTCTGCTGCCTGTTTCTGTAAATTTCAGGTTTTATTATTTCTCACCCATGAAGGACATCTTGGCTTGAAAGTTCTGTTATAGAAGACATAATCTAGTTATAACATTTCAGTATGACTTTTCTTGAGATGCAGCACTTGCTCTGAGATACCCTGGTAGTTTAATTTTTGTTAGGTATTTTTGGTTAGGTATTCTATCATTATGCATTCTTTTATCGAAGAGGTTGGATGTGCTAATGTGATTCCTTGCATACACGTGGTTTTCTACTGAAATACAGCCAGTGACATAGGCAGAATTGGCTCTTAAAATGTCATATTTTCATTTCAAAAAAACTTTCATGTAATAACTACAAAAGTCAGTCATTAAAAGGAGAATGGAAGGAAGTCAAATGTCAGGAGATATGTTGTATTTCGGTGAGTGGAAGTAATTTTTAGCCACATTTGTTTCAGTAGTGAGTGCCAAAATGACATAAATTCTGACTGATGTCAGTGTGCTCAATTTGTCGATCAGTTTCAGCAGCTATGTGCTAATTTCTTGTAGGAGAAAATGCTGAGAAGGAGGAAGCTTTTTTTTTTTTTTTTTTTTTTTTTTTTTGGAAAAAGAAATAGTGAAGTACTTGTGCCTGGGACTAGTTGTACAGTCCTCTATTTCAGGCAATTCTTTCTCTAATTTCTGTGAGTTTTGCCTGTACAGAGATCACAAGCTCGAGTCAGTTTCAGTTAACTCAGTTGTTTTCTTAGTCAGGAAGCTATTTGCCTTTTAATGGATTGATGTTTATCTGCTAGAGGACTTTAAATACAATATTCCTACAGCTGTACATGACTGCAAGGCATGCCATTAATGCAGTTAAAAAAAAAGAAAAAAGAGACTACTTACAGAGATTGGAATAATTGCTGCCTATTCCAATACGGATGGAGCTTCCAGAGATCAGAGGAAGATGGAAGAAAAGAACTAAGGAGGGAACAAAAAAAAGGTCCTTAATAGCAGTTTGGTTTTGTTTCGGGACCAGATGTCAGATGAAGACACGGTGTGGTTAACAGGGTCCCGTTCTCTAGGGCAGCAGCGTTACACGTTTCTGACCCGATATGCACACAGATGGAGCTTGAATGGGGTAAAAATAAATAAACAAGTCGTTGCTTCATACTTCCAGGAATCCCTCCTGTTCAGGAAATGATATTCTACAGGACTTTAATGCCTCTGGGTTCAGAAGCCCACGTATAAACAACAACGGGTTATGTAAATATGGTAATTATCGCTGGGAGGTCGTCCCCAGTCGGTGGGCAGGCGCCCAGTACCACGGAGGGACTGGTTCCCAGTTCCAGCGCCGCTGGGCTGCATGGGGCAGGAGCACACCTCATGGGCACACAGCGCCCGGCGCACCGAGCCCCGGCATTTGCCACTTGCACTTCGGGGCTTCCTTCTGAGCCCCCCAAAGCCGCGAGGGGTTCGGCTTCTCCTGGCAGCCCCCGCTGAGCTGCGGGGCTCCCCTCAGCCCGCCCCGCCCGCCCCGCTGCCCCTCGGCACGGAGAGCACCGGGGTGCCTCGAGCCGCCGCGGGATCGCGCCCCACGCCCCGGGACGCAGCCCTGTCGGGACAGAGCCCTGTCGGGACAGAGCCCCGTGGGGACGCAGCCCCGCCGCCTCAGCGCGCCTTACCCCAGCCCGCGGCGCCGGCCGCTGTCTCCATGCGCCTCAGCCGCGGCTCCCCGGCGGGCGGGAGGCGAGGCGGGCGCGGCCGCCGCCTCCTCCTCCTCCCTCAGCCGCCGCAGGCTGCTGGACGGGGGGCGTGTGGAGGCGGCCGACCTCCGCCCCGCCGGGGCCGGCCGCCGCGGCCCCCCCCGGCCGGCCCTGCCCGCCGCCGCCGCCGGGGGGAGAGGAGGGGCGCCCCCGGGGCAGGCCGCGGGGAGGGGGGCTCCGGGCTGCGCATCCCCGGGGGCCGGCCGCGGCCTAGGGGGGTCCCGCCCGGCCCCTTCCCCGCCCCGGTGCCGGCTCTGGGGAACGGGAGCGCTGCAGGGGCTCGGGCTCCCAGCTGGAGGCGGCTGCCGGCTCCTGGGGAGCTGCGGTGGCGGCGGAGGGAGGGAGGGGAAGGAGGGAAAGGAAAGGGAAGGGAAGGAAAGGAGGGCACGGCCGGGATTAGCCGGCGCTGCGGGGGAAGCGGTGCGGGCGGCTCGGGGCGATCCTGCAGGATTTAGTGCAAGGCACAGCTGGAACACGGCTGCACTAGGGCGGCACGTTTCTGCCGGGGATCTCGGAAATGTTTGCCGTCACACGGGATAAACGCCCCGGTGCTGGAGATAGAGCGAGCAGGGCTGCAGCAGGGACTGCTGTATGTGAACTTTCATCACGGGCCGTTTAGGTACGAAAAATAACAGAAAAACCACGTTATCAACTGCTTAGGCAAAGCGTGTGAGAAGTGCTGCCTTTCTGGCATGTCCTTTTAGCAGCAGCTTGGATTTTTCTAGGAACCAACTTGTAGTGGCAACTCCTTTCTCTTGTGCACTCCTCTCGGCCCCACTGGTGCCTCCAGAAGCCGGCTGGCAGGGTGCTTCCCCCTGCACTGCTCGTGCAGGCGGCTCCTTCACTTCTTGTTTGCAGGCCTGTGAGCAACTTCTCTCACATAGGAATACCTTTGCCATCAATGTCCAGGCTGTTTAATTTCTCCTTGGTTCAGCAGTGATGGTCGCAGAGTTGTAATGATGTTTGGGGTTGATAAAATGCTTGTGAACTCTCAGGTCTTCCTGTCAGACGTGTGCTGCTGTCATCAATCACTTATTTTTTCTTTTACTTTTTAAATTCAGGCAAGCATGAAGTGTGTCTGAGGCAGTTGAAAGTTTCCTGGAAATTTGCAAATAGATTTCATTATGGCTCAGCAGTACTTGCACTTTTTACCAAAATTATAGGAACTCGGTTCTTAATTAACCAATTTCTATGCTAAAATCCCCTCAGAATTCTCTGCAAAAATTACCTCTTGATTAATTTCTTCAACCCATCAAAATACTTGACTCCATGAAAGACTTTTCTACCACTTCAGTAAATGGAAACCGTATGACTTCATTTCAGGGCCCTTCGTCATCTACTTAGGCACAGAGAAATTCTTACATTCACACCATCAGAAAAGCTGGGTTTCTGTGTGCAGGCTTTTTGAATTCACATGTGAAGGGTTAAGTATATATGCAAGACTGTACGTAACGATATTAAAATACTTTCTCCAGTTAAATTTCAAAATTTCTAATATCTAGTGCTTCTGCAAATTTTGATGATGGCATCTTTCCCAAACAGTGCCTTACATTTAGCTATAGGATCCATACTAACTTCAATTTGAACAGACTAAGAATCTTTGACTGCAAAACCTGTACTTAATTAAAAAAGCTGTTGAAAATATAGAGGCCTTGTTACCTGACTTTGGAGTAAGCAGCTTCATATTTGGCAATTCTGGAAAAAAAAAATCCTGTCTACGCCCTTTTTAGGCCCTTTTCTGTGACAGTTTTGTCCAGAGGAATCTTTATTTCCAGAGAAATTGGGATGACTTTTGAGACAGAGAACATTTGTTTCTGGGTCGGATGGTACAACGTACCAGGTACAATCCAGCACAGCCTTACAGAAGCATCATCACAGTTAACACTGACTTTCTTGGTATTTGTCAGTGCTCAGCTCGCTCATCTTGAATCTACACGAAATGTTTCCAGCTTTTGCTCACCCCACTCATTTCCAGATCTGTGTTAAACATATATGGGACAGTTCTTTTACCCTTTCATTCCATATGTATTTCAAATTGTGGGGGTTCCTTTTCTTCTGGTTTATTTGTGCTCCGGAACAAAACCTGCTTGTGATGAATTCAGGCTGGAGTCTCATTTACACACCTAGTGTAGTCCCTCAGCAGTAATGTGTCAGGGAGATAGTGTAGGATTATTTACATAATTATTTATGTTTTTTTGTTTGTTTGTTTGTTTTTTTAATTGCATCTGTTTTTCTGTTTTGGAAAAATAGATTTGCATTAGAGATTTTCCCGCAAACGATTTATTACACAGAAGTCTGTTTATATGCTGTATTTGGGAGGGCTGGGCCAAAGACAAAAAATACTCAGAATTTCTGCTGCTTATATCTGTTTATATTTTAATTGACTTGTTTTTCTCATAACATCACAAAAAAAGCAGCACCAAGGCAGCATCTGTCTCTGGTAATTTACAGCCTGTGTGCCCAGTCTGAATTCTATCACTTCGTTGAGAAAGTTTTCCCCCAGCCTTTCAAAATAAGGAGCATGCTGGACAAGGAGTGCAGGTATGCTTCCATAAGGTTTGGGATGGCATTTGTTACAGTCGGCAGCATAAGAAGCTGCCATCCTCACTCAGTGGGTGTTTCCCTCTTTACTAATAACAGGCAATCAGTGTGAGAAGCCCTTGCTGAAGACAGATAATTTTATTCTTGGATGATTTTACATTTTCTTTGATCCAGGGACTTCATTATCAAACTGTACAGTTTAGTAGAGTCTGCTGAAGTGGCAGACCTCCTCTGCTCTACTTACCATCTCCTGTGGTTTCATTTTAGGTTCGCGGAGGTCAGTGCCAAACCAACGCGTAAGTGTGGTGGCTGCAGTGCTGCCCGCCTGGACATTTTGTGACAGCTGATTTCTGGAAGGCAAAATAAATCTTGCTGTTAAATGAGATCTCTTTTTGACTGAAAATTTTAATGTGTTAGTAACAAGACTTTGGGGGATACTGTTCATCACATCATTTTTTTTAATGGAAAAGGTGGTAATGAAATAAATGTCAGTTGGGTTATATAATTACTCTTGGATAAAATGCCTCAGGATGAGCAAAAGAGATGAGTCTCAGTTTGCGGGAGCAGGGCAGTCTTCTCTGTGTCTGAAGTTGTGTGCCTTGTCAGTGGTGACAGCACCGATGTAGTGGCAGTGAGAGGTCATCTGGTAGCTGCTGGAGAAGTCTCGTTGCCAAATGGCTGCGGAAATAGCCGCCTGCCTGCAACTTGGCCAGGTCTGAGGCCAGCTCTGCCAGCCCTGCACCTGCGTGAGGCAGCAGCGCCGGGCATTCCCTGCGTCTGGCCTTTCTGGCCGGGCTGACTGTAACAGGCCCTGGGCCAAGGCATTGCCCTGCTGAGAGTTTCCACCACCGGGTGCTTGAGGTTGTACAAATCTGTGTGTGCTGCTGAAAACAAGGGCAGGAGAGAGGGATTAGGGTTTGATGGGAAGCATCTCATGCTTTCACCACTTGCACTGTTCTGAAATGTAGTGAGAAGAAAAAGAATCTTTTGATGGAAATGTTTTTAAAATTACTCTTTTGAAAAAATAAATGTTAATTTCCTGATATCTAATCAGAATTGTCTGTTTTGTAGTGTTCCATGCTGAGCTCTTTCCTGGAAGTAAAGACTGTCTTGAATTCCAGTGCAGTGCCCATAAGCAGTATGTGTTACACATGATGTTTTTGCGATGGATGTGGCTGGTTGTGAGGTTGAGGGAGGACACTTGCCACTGACCTTCAATGGAAGAGGAGCAGTTCTCGCTGATTTCAGGTTCAAGGCAACTCCTGTTTGCCATATGCAAGAAATTGTTTCACTGCCTATGGATCTACTTGCATTAGTACAGTGAGTAGGATTAACCTCATGGGGGCAAGGATTTTATTTTTAATGGAAGAGTCTGAGATATTACGTGCATATCATAGCCTGGATTAGCGCAACTGCTGTGTCCTTCCCTTTGTACAGGCCAGGGCATGCAATCCTTATGGATTTTGTGTGTCGGTACCCCCATTTTACTTTCTTCATTTTGATATTTTTCCCCCATCTTAATGCTGTATTTCAAGGAGGGGTGATAGGAAGGAATGAAATCAGTGATGTTTTGAGATCTGTTGTGAACGGAATTCCTGCAGGGTTAGGGTGGGTGGTTAGATTTTCAAGTTATTTAATATTCACTAAATCACATTTCTAAGAAATCTTAGGGTGAAAATAGTTTCTAATTTTCAGATTGGCAATTTTGAGGCAATGGATTTGAATGTGATTAAGCTGAAATGAATTACCAGCAAGATACTAAAGGTTTTCTGAGTTTGGACATAACTGTAGAATTACTAACAAAAGAGCTTCTTCTGTGCCAAAAGCTATTTTAATGAAAAGGATGGAATTTTTGAATATATCATATAAAGTTCTATATAACATTTTTCAGCTAGCATTTATAGGACAGGTAAATTTATATTTAAAATATTTTCTAGAGGTTTGAATCAAGTGATTTAGTTCTTTAGGCATAAAATCTGTCAAGAGGAAAAATAATTTTAAATTGCTAATACAGATGAAACATATAAATAAAAAATATTTTAGAGTTGTGCCGAGACCCGAAGGCAGAAGTCATCTTCTTTTACATGCCATGTAATGAAATGAGAGCTAGAATGGAGAGGCTCTTGATTCTGTTTCAATAGTTGCTATGTCAAGAAAGTGTTTTCCGGGAATTTTATGACATGTCCAAATTCTCAGAGGCTATTTTTCTGATTTTTAGAGCTACCAACTGTCTTTTTCTGTGGAACAAAAGGTGGTCTCAGGCATTGGAATGGGGCCAGGTTGAGTCTCTTATTTATTCACCTGCTTGCAGACTTTTGAGGAGGATGGTAAATTCTGCTGTCTGCCTTGTGTACATACATATTTTTCAAGTATGTGTGCATGCACTAGGAAATAATTGGGTCCAAGATTGTTATTGAAAAGTCTATAACATTTCCCTTATGTGTCTGCCTGTGTTTTCAGTCTTTCTGATGCCAGCTGAGTTAATGTTTAAGGATGTAAAATGGAAAATTTGATCTCTGTGTTCTTTTCCCTCTCATTCTATGACTCCTTAATTAAATTTACAGTTAATTTTGCAATTTATTTTGTGTTGACCTTTCCAGGACCTTAAAGCATCTGACAGTGAAGGCAGATTCTCTGTTTATTTCCATTAGTCCTTGCATGAATTTATCACAAATTCTAATTTTATTTTTGGAATTAAAGATAGCCAGCGGATTGCTAACGAGTATTAACATGCATCCCTGGAGATACATAAATACAAATACACACAACTCTATGTAAAGGAATACTGACCCG